TATAATATAAAACTAATATAATATCAATAAAATAATATAAAATAATGTTTAAAAATATCTATAATATTACAATATGAGATTCTAGTTGTTGACTACTAAATCCTAATTTGAGTTTAGAAATTAGTTTCCAAAAAGTATCTTGATAATCATTAACTGAACAGAAACTTCTACTTATTAACTGATCTTTAAAAAACTCTAAAATTAATAAATTAAGTCAATAGTATTCTGCCTATGCTGCTTTAATATTTAATTTTAGATTTTCTAAATCTGTTGTTTGACTGATTATATTCTGTTTCAGAAACTTTATACTAAATGTTTCTAGGACCTCATCAAATGCAAAGTAATGTTCTTTCTAAGTTAAATTAATTGACAACACTAATCGAAAGTCTTGAAGAAATTGAGAATTACTTTAAAAATCTAACAAAAATCATGCTACAGACTTAGCATATCTTTTTTTCTCTATTATTGAAAATATAGGTGCAAATGCCTTTAAGCTATATATTTGTAAATCAAAATTTGCCAACCAAATGCCAAACTTATACAGTTTCAAATATCCTGCCAACTGATAAAAATTATATTATATATTTAAAAATTATTATTTTTTTTAAGAATATCTTCAATCAAAATATTTTTTCACTAATATATTGATGGATTGCAACTTCTACTGCTATCCAAATAAGTTTAAGTACTCAAAATGTTGCCTAGTAGTTAGCAACCTGTTCAAGTTTATCAAGAAATTTAGCATCAAGTCTTGCAACAAGTTCAAAAAGTCTATATCCTAAAAAAGCAATGATCAGTGCACTGCACATTGCTTTGTTAATATGCCATTGTTCTAAAATACAATGCACTGTTTGCTCTTTATTCATGTAGTCTTTCATCTGACAGTAGATTGTTTCATTATATATCAAAGTTAATATATCATTCTCTGTATAATCAAAATCATCAAGAAACATATTAACAGTCTTGTAAACATGCTTATTTTTGTTTAGTGCTTCTTTAGGTTTGAGAATTTCAACATTTAGAGAAGCAATAAACAATGCTGAATTAATATTCTTTTTAATAGTTATATCAACATATTCAACACCAAACATTGACTCTTGACTAATTAATTGGCTAAAAATTGTATTAATTTTTGTTTGCTATTTTTTATAAAAGAACTTATTCCAAAAAGGTTGTTATTTTCTACCATCTCTTTTAGACTAGTAGGTTCCAAGTATTGAGACTGAAAGACCATCCTCAATGTGACATATGCAGTAACATAAATTATATCAAAAATATTGCTATATTAAAAAGTTTTATCTTTAAAGTCAATGTTCTTTATAGCTGTGATGTTCAACACATTTGAAGTTAGGTTGAGTCTTAAACTAGGCTTTGCAGTAGACATTCTTTTTTTTTGGGAATGCACTTCAAAATCTCTTATATATGAACCATCTTAATAACATAAAGAATTTTATATAATGATCCTATCATTTTTGGTCAGTGACAAAAAGAAGAAAGAATATGTATAAACTATATTTTTCAATGAGGAAAAGCAATTATAAGTACCACAGAAAAGAAAAAAAAAGAAAATAAATTGATTTATTTTTTTATATTATGGTGAAGACATGTTTCTTTCTCTCTGTTTTCTAGCTAAAACTTTTTGTTTTTTTCTTTTATAGCAGAAATTAGTCTGATAAAAAAGTTAACAAAATTTGATGACATAGCATTATAATATTCTTTTAATGATTCCAGTTCTTCAAGTATCAATAATTTTTTTTTGAGCTTAGACCATTTTTGCAATACAAAGTAAGCAAATATTTTTCCTAATTCTTTATATGTGATAGTTTTTAATATTAATAACTCTTTATTAATACTAATTTTTTTGATTGCAAACACAATTTTTACTAGAAAAAGACTTGCAACTGATGAATCAGTAGAAAGCTTACTAGCAGCATTCTAAGCTTCAAATGTGTTTGTAACAATAATGTTATTAAGAATTTTGATAAGTTCTTTTAAAAAATTGGTTTTTACAGTTTCATTATTAAATTCAATAGTTTGTTCTATCTATTTACTAAAATATTTCAAAATAGATAAAGTAACATTATTATGTAGTTTTTGTTTCATACATGAAATTGATAGTTTGTTTCTCCTAGCCTAAATATGCAAGTAACCTTCATGTATTTCAAAGCAGTTTGAACAAATAAAATAAGGTTTATCACTATCAAATGCTTTTTTTGATAGCTTATCATATTTGATTATTGCTAGGCAATTAAACAATCTACAACATGGAACCTAAATTGTATATCCTTATATATTTTATGTATATAATACACATATTTTACCTATTGTAAGAAAACATTTGATTTTATTACAAAACAAACAACAATGAAAGTTTATTCTGCTTTCTTCAGTAGACTGTATTGCCTTTATACTTGTTTTTGAATCAAGCTTATGTATAATTTTTTAATCATAATTTAAATGATATATGCAAAGTTTTAATTTTAAAATCTTATTTTTAACTTCTTTCCTAGCTTGAGAATCAATTTTCTACATACTAGATAATTGTTTAATATAGCATTCACCTATATTATTACATCTTTGAATTATGTTTTGTTTATTAATATTGTTAATAATAACACAACATGTTGGTTCGATACTATAACTAGAGGTAAAAGGAACTGATCTTTTAAACTCTTTATCAAATATCTGTCTTATTATCACTTTCATTCTTATAGTTACTTTCAAAGATTTTATCATTTGAATTTTCTACTGATCTAGTTACAAAGGATTGTAATTTTTCTAATGAATGTCAATTATATACAAGAACTTTATTATTTATTAATTCTTTGGTACTAATACTAAATTCTTTGCTAAAATCATTTTTATTTAAGAATTCCATAATTATTCTTTTTTATTTTTTATAAAATTAAAAAAACTAATGTTTATTATTTATTTTTATTTTTTATTTAGATGGTACTTGTTATTAAAATTCAAATTGAATAAAATAAAGAATATTTATAATATTTTTTTTTTTGATCTATAATAAGTTGTTGCAGCTATTTAAGAAGTAGCAAATGACAATTTGGCTAAATTAATAAGACTTAAAAAAATCAATTATTTTTTACAAACCAAAAAAAGAAGACAATTTAGCCAAATCAATAAGTCTTAAAAAAACATATATTTTTACAAACCAAAAAAAAGAAAACAATTTAGTCAAATCAATAAGTCTTAAAAAAATCAGTTATTTTTACAAACCAAAAAAAAAGAAGACAATCAAGCCAAATAGATAAGAATAATAACAGATATTATTTTGGGTTAGACAGTACTATGTTAATTCTAGAGTGTTATTTTGAAATTTTAAAACATCAATATATACTATAATTTTAACTGATTAGAATAACAATGATAAAAAAATTATAGTATATACATTTATGTTTTAAAATTCCAAAATAATGCTATTTTAGATTAACACAAATGCAACTTAGTAATCATTAGATCAAATATTTTAAAAAGTTTAATTAATTATTTAAAATTGTACTTTATGCACATATTATTTTTCTTTTAATAAATAATTATTCACTAATTAACTTGTCAAATCAGTTTTTCTTAATGTAATAATAACAAAATTAATTTTTTATAATTGTAGAAATTATTAGAAAAATTATTTAAATTCATTATTACAAAATATATGTAATTTTATAAAATTCATATAAGTAATGATAAAATGTTTAGTGAAATTACTTTTTTAAAAAATACTTTAAACACCTATATATAAGTGTATTAAATACCAAATAACTTATTGTTAAATAATTAATAAATACAGTATAAAAACTAAGTTATCAAATACAATTTTTTTGAAAAACTTAATTAGAAATTTGTGAAATTCTTTATTTTAAAAAAAAAACTTTACATTTTGTTTAAAAATCATATAACAATAAGCTAATATTCTCTAATTGCACAACTAATGCAACTCAACTTTTTCTAAGCCAAGTACATGATTTGCATTCTTTAAGTGTGATCTTTCTAAAATGCAAGATTTTTAAATCCTAATAAGTTAAACAGTATTTAAAGAGAATTAATTAAACTTTAATCTTTTTATTTTCTATACCTTCTAATAACTTGCAACTCTTAACAGTTTGGGTAGTTCATAATCATTGGGCAGGCTTGGTAAAGTTTTCAAAGTGAAATAACCTCTATTACTGTATTATAACTTATCTATATAAAAAGGGAAATGAAAAGTTATCTTTGAAATCATGATTCTTGAAAACTTTAATAATTACTTTGTTTTAAACTTAAAAATTAGAAAATAAGTGTATAACTAAACTGTCGTACCTTGTCTCACAAATGCAGTTTCCTTTTAGAAAACCTTTGAAAATGTATTGAAAAAAGGTCTACCATTGCAATTTACTATTTAAAATAGGCATGTCGATCACTCAAATTTCATAGTAAAAACTTTACCCACCTGATCTGCGTGACAAATCGTGTGACTGATATGCGGAATGCCGATCACATGGTGATTTGTGTAACCTTTAACGTTGAAAATCACGTCTTTTAGAAAATCGCTATTAACTCGAAATTTTACCTATGAAATAAAAAAAATTCCTCGTCCTTAATCCCAACTCTAAAGATGATGCTTATTACTTTAAAATCTTCCGCTTAATTCAATTGTTTTGATTTTACGTTACACCTGATCCTTCGATCTAATTGGCAAAAATCACGTGCCGAAAAAATCTTGTGGATAGGGAATCTGGCATGCCAAGTTCCCTAACCCTACAGAGCATGTATTTAGGATAAAAGAAATTTTAGATATCACCCAAACAAATTCAAATGAAGATCATCTGATATGATAGCCAATAAAAAAGAACTTCGGTCATGCTTTCTTTTTCACACTTCAACTTTAAATGGTGGTTTATTGTACCTGTAAACAGCTTTTATGTTACTGACATAAAGTCCTCTAATAATCGCTCAAAAACAAATATTGATAATGCACCTATAGATGTGTCAAGTATAAAATTACTTTCCGCGAAAATTGTTTCAATGGAGAAACAAATATCTGAAAATTCCAATCAATTCTCTATAAATATCAAAAACCTTGATGAAAGTGTTTCACTCTTCAGGGCGAAAGTTATTAGCAAATTAAGATTAATTCTCACTTAAAGTACGCATTGAGGAATAATATCATTTTTTCTTCATTCATTTTTGAATTTAAATTTAAATCTTAGTAATTGTAGGTTGGCCAAAAGTATTGTGAATATATTCATCTTAGTTACTCTTCAGCTATGAAACATGACATTGAATCAAGATGTTGGAAAATTGTGGCTTACTTATTAATTGAACAATTTTGTCAAGCAATTTCTTTGGAAAGACGTCAATCTTCAAATAAACCACCATCATCATCTATTGTTATTTTAATTCAATCTAACATCTTTTAAAAAATTATTAAAACTTATTTCTGAAAATTCGAAACTTAGTAATAATAATTTGGAGAGCAATAAACCTCCAAGGTGGATACGTTGTATAGGTTGTTTTGGGACATTGCTAGATATCATTGGTCATATTGCTCGGAAAGATCAAGAAAAGAATAAACAATTCCGGGCAGAAAATGCATCTCGATGGTATTGTTTAGGGGCAGGCCTTCTGAATAATTGATTGTGAGTAGGGATGGACTCGGTCGGTTACGGTCGGTTATCGGTCGGTTATTACCGGCTAGCCGCGGCTATAGCCGATCAATTA